AAACGGGTGTACCGCATTGCGAGACCGCATTACCGACCGTACTCGGCAACGGCCATAATTCAACGCCGCTTCTATAACTTCCCTCTTTCGCCCATTTCCTACCTCCCTTCCGTTTCCCCCCTCCCTCTACCACTTTCCACCGTGTCTACACCGTGCGGTGTAATATTCGAGGATGCAACGACGCGCATCCGAGGCGCATCGATGAGAGAATATTCACGAGAATTAGCGAGCCTCCACGTTCGCTTACTCCGCTGCTCGCTTTCGAAACAATTATATCGCCGATCAAGGGCCGGCATCGGTCGCCCCGAAACGGCTTTGTCCAACCACGACGGATCTCAACTCACGCCGTTTATCTCTCGTGTCTCTCCTCCCTAATCCTTGGCAGATTATGCATATCGAAGTCAGCAGGGGAAAAGAAAGGATCGGTAAGAAGATCTATCTCTCCGAATCTTTCGTTTTTCGAAAGGTTGTCTCGTTCTCGTGGTGATTTTGAAGAGAAGGATCTCGGAGAATATTAAACGAGAAGATTTCTAAACAATAATTTTAAAAAAGATTCTAAAGATTTGTAAATAATAAAATTCTCTCAACAATAAAACTTTAGATGCTTGGTTATAATTATAATTTTAATCCTTCGAGGATATAAGGTATATATATATATACCTATCTCGTTTGAACGTGTCAATTTTAATTTCGTCGAATATTTAAGCAAATAATAAATAAACGTTTCGAACTCGAATGTAAATATTCGAATGTAAAATCTAATAATTTCCACGGTGCGATACCCAGCAATTACAGAGCGTTATCGCCGTACCTTTGCCGCATCATCGTCCACGATATTATTGATTTCCCTCACCACGCGGGTATCGCTCATTTCCGCATAATCCTCCGCCGAGATTACGAGCCAAAATCGATACGGGAATACGTACTGGACGCGTTGATAAAAAATTGTTTGTCGAAGCGAAGAATATTTTGCAGAAATTCGTTTCAGGAAGGCTTTATCTCGTATTCGAGAGATATTCGGCAACTCGTTCGGGGATTCAAGACCGGGAGCCAACGATCTCGACTCGAATCGAAAAGAATTTTGGATTGCGTTTGTTGGCCGGTTACCGCAACTGGCCACCCAATGTTCGAAAAATTGGGGCGAGAAAAGAAGCATATGCGAACGACGTGAATATTTCACTCTTTCGACTGTTCCGGGCGACGAAGCGCCGAATCTCCAATTCTATCCGGGCTGATCGAATACTGAACGTCATATCGAAAGTGATTTGTTTCGGGAAACGGGACAGCGCGCGGGACAACGTTCGTTGGATGGAAAGGCGGAGACAGTCGAGGAGTTGATTAGTTGCGCTCGCGTATCGATAGTGGAGGGAGATTGTTTCAGTTAGATATGGGAAAAGTTTAGGCGAGGTTGAAGGTATTATATCATTCGTGATTGAAACGTGAAAACTTTTCTCTGCGCTTTTAATAACTATATAAAGAGTAGTAGTATCGAGGAGAGTAGCAAGTTTCGATGAAAAATTTCTAAACTTTAAAAAGATAAAAGTTAAAAAAAAAAAAAGAAAAGAAAGTCCTCGAGATATAATTAAAAGGAAAATTTGGAAGGAAAGTTGTTTTAAAGACGTTAATTCACGAGTTAAATCGTTAAACGCGTTTGCGGATAAAAATCTGGCGGAGAAACGTGAAAAAAGTTCAAAAGAGTTTCCATAATGGATCGATAGCTGATAGCTCGAAGCGGTTTCAAACGTCTCGGAGAATCTTGGCTATTTTTGTCGAACAAAATTCCCCGCCTTTGCTTTCCGTTACGGGACAAATTTTCGCGGAGAGGGAGGGATCGTCGACGGGAAGCTCGATAAAAGGGAGGAAAATCGTTGAAAGTCTGACAAAGAAGGCGTCGCGGGAAAGGAAGTTCCGGCTTCCACTCGCCGCCGTGTCGCGCTCTTCTTTTGCAAACGAATTTCTACGAATAGAAAGAGAGACATCAGAGGAAAGTCGAGTCGACAACGGGTTAACCGTCCGTGATCTGGCTTTTCAGATTCGTTAGATTCGTTAAATTAACGCCGTTTAATTCGACTAGTTCATTAATAATGAATTGACGATAATAGAAAATTACGAAATTGGTAATAATTTATTCAGAGTTTCTATTAGATGAGAGAATGTAACCAACGATGGACAAATAAAATTTATTAGTTGAAATTACGAGTAAAGTTACTTCAATAATTTATTGTGACATAATCGGAAATAATTGCAACGTCAAACGGTCGAAATTATACCGAAAAACGGATCGACTATAACAGCTACGAATAAATGTTATTTAAGCATTTTAAGTAATTATTTAAAGTAACTTTATTCGAAATTTTTAACTAATTATTTTTCTTCAACGGTATAGATATTAAAAGGAGAAGAAGAAAAAAAATTACGAATTGTTTCTCGAGATTTTTGAGAAGAATTTGAAAATAGAATTTCGCACTTGTACATTGAAGTACATTGTATTCGAAACATTTGTTTGCAAGTGTATAAAAGTTTCGTTGCATCCCTCATCGGGAACTGGTCCCATGGGGCGAAAATCACGTTAATGGAGTAAAAAGTCACAAATTGTTCGCGTTTCTTCGCTGTTTCAAAAAGTTGAGGAAAACTTCACGAATGCTAAGCTCGCACACGATGGCCAAATTTTTGGAATGCACGTTCTGCGAAACGACCAATACGAGTAAGATAAACACCTGTTCCCCTATGTTCTTATTTATTTATTTTACAAAATCCCCCAATTTTTAACGAACAGCTAATATTTATCTATGTGCGAATGTGTTTTGAACAAATGCCTATAAAAACAAGAATTTGTTCCGAAATAAATTCGAAAACTCGATTTGCATGTCCTTGCGCCGTTAATTTGCCAGGATGGAACTATCACGACCGCCGGTGGCCCGGTAAACTTGATTTCCCCCGTTAATTAAAGTGTATCGACGACGAATACGACGAACAAGTTGTCCCACATAACTACTTGTGTCTCCGTTTAAACCTAATAACGCTCCCACCAATTATGTCACTTAAATTTTGTTAAACGTATTATTACTTCGACCATTTCTTATTTACCGCGATTAATTTCAAATTCGCAATAAGAATATTTCCACTCGATAGCTTTCTATTTTTTCTTTTCTTTTTTGCAACAAAATAAATGTACGCGTGTTGCACATGCCATATCTTCAGAAATCGAGGAATCGTCCTCTGATTTGGGCCACTTAAATTTTATAAATTATCTCGATCATCATTTTCTATTTACGCATCGTTGCGAATAATTTCAAATTCGCAAAAGAAAATATTTCCGCTCGATAATTTTCTATTTTCTTTTTTGCAAAAATAAATATCGTACGTTTAGCACGTTTAACAGAAGTTGAGGAATGATCCTCCGGTTCGAGCCACTCAAATTTTATAAACGCATCGCTACTAAAAAAAAAAGAAAAAAAATATTTCCGCTCGCCAGTTTTCTATTTTCTTTTTTTGCAAAAATAAATATGGCGCGAGTAAGGAAAGACGAGAGCGACAAGAACAATACCTTCGTCGCCAGAAGTTGAGGAGTTGTCCTCTGGTTCGGGCGACGATCCTGGGGACCCAGGGGACTGTCTACCGAGTCTCGAGTCCGGTCGGCCATACTCGTATCCTCCGCTCGACCCCCTGTTGTCTTCGCACTGTCGTCCCTTTTCGGGGGACACCGATCGTCCGTCCCTCGTGTCTGCCGGAAACGAGCCTCGCTTCCCGTCCCTCGCCTCGGCCCAGCCCAATCTTTTCCCGAAGTCGGCGGCCACCGTTGAACGCTTCCTGAGGATTCCGTGACGGGAATACGTTTACGCGCTTCCATTCGTGAAACGGCCAATTCGATCGTTAAACCGACTTTTTCCCTCCCTCTCTCCCTCTCTCTCTCTCTCTTTCTCTCTCAATCCCGAGATTAAAGAAGTTAAATTAGCCGCGAACCTCGCGAACGATCGAATTTCCGGCCACGATTCCCCTCAGAGGCTTCTTCTGACCCGATCTCGACGATACGCAACAATTTTATTTACAACAGAGTCGGATCATCGCGAGTTGGATCGTCGCGAATTCGATACAACGGGCGAGGTATATCTCCTGTATAATATCTGAACGATCGTAAAGCGGGCGTGGAAATGGCGGTAGGTAGAAATATATATTCGTGGCGAACGAACAAGAGAAGAAACGCGGCGGAGAAAAAAAAAGGAACGGAGCCGAGATGAGAAAAAGGGATCGCGGCG